TTATAATATGTAATAAAATATTTAAAATATTTTATGCATGATGTAGAATTACATTAGATTCTTTATATATAGACATAAAGAATCTTCAATCTACTTTATAAACAAATAGGAAGTATAACTTACGACCATCATCAGCCAAAGACTCAAGTTTAACTTCTTCAAGAGGTATAATATGCTGTTTATTGTACTGTTAACACATACAGTATAAATTTTCTTAATATCTTCAATAAATTTATGTATTATGTTAATAAATAAACTATAATATTACATTAATAAACAAACTAAAGTCATTATAGTTATTGATATTCACAAACATATACCTTTTTCTTGTTCATTACAATGTTTCCATAAACCAATATATCATTAAATAAAAAAAACTGCCTTGGTTTTGGCTTTTTCCTACACATTTTTGTTAATACACCTTCTCCAACTAAAACTCTTCCAGGTACAGCGAGAGACTAAAATATATAATGGATTAATGTTAACTTCAAGTAATATTATTGTATTTTTAATTTCTTGTATCTAAACATTGAAACGTTTTTTATTAATGCATCACATTATACTGTATAATTATGTTTTAAAAATATCACGCCGAATGTGAAAAGTTAAGAGAATTCTAGTGTACCAATCTTACCTGGCCAGAACTGCCAAAGCAATTTTCGACCATAACAATGCGTCTGGCATTAGCCTCGCTATTTACTGCAATAAATCATATAAAAATAAATAACACAACATAACAAATAATTTACTTAAAGTAATAATAATTCCTTTAAAATACTTCGTATATTATAGTATTTAATTTAACTGTCAAAATCACAAACTACCAAGTTACACCGTTATCCGATGTAATTTTACAAATCGTAGAATATGCAAATTACTAGTATAATACTTCGAAAATCGGAGCAAGGATTACACACAATAAAATTACGTATTAGAAATAAGTTAAATTTGCCTTAAATAGCATAACTTAAATTAAATGATAAATGAAATACAAACTAACCCAATCGGTCAACCATGGTCCTATGAATCAGGGCTGACAACCAGGAAGTATGAATCATGTTTGATATTTGTCATATTCACAGTGGATTATACACACAATATTATAATATTAATTATTATATTTAAA